GCGATGATGATAACGACGACGATGATAATGTTGATGATATTACAGTCATGGTAATAATAATAATATTGATGATATCAATGATGTTGATGATGACATTAATGATGATTACGTGGATGATGCTGATGATGATTCAGATGATGACGCTGATGATGATTATAAAGATGATGACGTTGAAGATGATGACGCAGAAGATGACGTCAGTGAGGAGAATGACGTGGAAAGTTTGAAAAGTGATGTTGATGACAAGGGAGCGTAGGTGGTGTGCTGTGATGAAGCGACTTTTCCATCGCTTCCTACTAACCTTTCCATGACGTCATTCTCTCATGTCATATTTCTTCAAACGCTGTCACGTGATGTCATTAAAATTTTACACACACTAAAATACAAACACACACACGCACAATCACACGCATACTGAATAACAGACACGCACACTTCCGTTCATAATTTTACTCTTTCTCACACTCAAAAACATTCACGCATATGTACAGTACATATATGTAAATATATATACGTGTGAGTGTATGTATGTGTGTGCAAGTGTGTGTTTGTGCGTGTGTGTGTATGTATGTGTGTGAGTGTACGTTTGAAAATACAAAACATACATCATTTAGCCTTCTATTGAAAGTGAAAGTCCAAAGACTCTTACTGGCTGTTACGTGAAAGTTACGTATGACGTACAACAATATCACCAACAACAAAAATAACAACAACAACAACAATATAAACAGCTAAATTATAACAGCAACAGCAGAAGCAACATTTTTTTGCAAAGAATATAAAAAGAAGACAGCAACAACATTAAAAACATCGTCAGCATTATTGAAACTTACAACAAAGCAGAAGAAGAAACAGAAGCTTCAACAGCAACGACATCAACAACACTAACATCAACTCGAAGCAACATCAAACTACAAAAACAACAGCAACAACAACAGCAACACAAAGTTGAACGTTTCTAGTAACGGTGAGCGTAACATTACATCAGGCCGTCTAATTAGACGCATAAGTGAGAAGCACAAGCGTGATTAAGGAGGCGACAACGACCACAGAACGATCCGACAAGCTTCCATTACGTCCAATACATAACATAATCTTATTGAATGTACATCATCCTTGTATAGGTACACGTAGGTACAGCGTACAGTGCACGCTTATATGTAAACACGTGCACATCTACGTGTTTGTATACTTGCTTATTTGTAGTAAATTCAATGTACGTATTAAAAAAATTTGCGTATTAATTAATAATTATAAAATTAAACGTGAGTATATAAGCGGGAGTGTGGCATGCTTCTAGTTCAATGTGAACATATACGAATGTGCATTTGTTTTCACGCACACACGCACACATGCACACAAATTATACATTTTCGTCATTTTCAATGCGATCACGCACATATACACGTACGCGTCATCTTATATATTATCGTCATTTTCAGCTGGAACACGGCTTATGTTGCGAATGTTTTTTAATGTTTCCAGCGAACAAAAGAGGAACGAAGTTCGAAAAAACGTCACACCCACACACACACGCACACACACTCCTTTTAAAAACAAATGAATATTTTTAATAGTTTCTGATTGCATGCTGACATCATGACATTTCTATAAAACGTGCGCATTAAATCTAGACAGACTATATGCCCAACTAAGCAATTGACAGCAAGGAGCTGGAAACAACAACCCCAGTAACATAGCAAGCGACAACATTAACAGAAAAACAACAACAACAAAATGTTGAGAGTGCGTGCATTGTACATTTGCATCTTGCGGTGTTTATAATTTGAAGGCCTTTTCATGATTATCCTGATTTGTCAGCATATTATTTGTTGAGAAGGAAATAATGGCCACCTACCGACCTGCCTACCTACCCACCCACCACCTACCTACCTCTCTAGCTTCCTACCTACCTATCTACCAACATACATGTTTACTGGATGTTAGTTATTACTTATTTGTGATTAATTATTTGCATACATGCTACGTAATACATAATTAACATTCAACGAACAAAGGTATCATTGATATATTTGCAGAAAGCTCGTTAAACTAAAGGATTGAATTGGACACCATTTATTTGAAATGATTAAAACTCTTACATCAAAATTGTATTTTAATGATTCTACCCATCAACCAGCCAACATTCAATGACTGAGACTGACCAAATGTGTTACTGATGAAATTGACGAACATTTGACGGCTTATATTGTTTCGATGAAATTTTCAATGCCAGATAGTAGCATTCTATCAATATATATCCACATGTTTGTACTCTTCATAAACAGAGCCAGCTTGCAGTCGATGTCGAAAAAGTCAGGCTGCCATGCCGGTGCGTATGCATGCAACAAAGTTTTGTTATTTATGTTAAAATTGATTTTTTTTCAAACAAAGTTGTTATACAGTTTTTGAAACAAAAATTTACAAATTCTTATTACTACAACAACAACTACTACTACTACTACTACTACTACTACTACTACTACTAATACTACTACTAATAATAATACTATAAACTGCTATTATTACTACTACGACTATTACTAAATTTGATTGCAATGTAAAATTATAAAACATCATTAGAAAATTAATAATAGAATTATGAAAAAATTAACTAAATTCAGTAATTTCAACTAATTAGTATCAATTTTAATTAGATAACACGCACACATACCATCGTAGCCGCAAATAAAATGGCGCAGAGTATGAAATGTCGTTTATGTAAGAATTCCAACTCTGATGGAGGTAGAGCAGCTCACAAAATCATTTCCACTCATTTTATTAGAAATTAAATTTGTGCAAAACGATGACTGTGGCGTCTAGAACCAAATGGACATTTGCTTGGACGGGTCAGTGATGGGTGTGATAGTTTCTCAAATTCGGACTTGAATAATTATTTTTAAAACATTCAAAAGTGACTAAATCATAAACTAAAAAAAATTACCATTCGGAAATCGAAACGCGTATAAAACAGAACGTTAAGTAATCAAAATGGAAACATGCATGCTTTAAATGGCATCACGTCTTTATTTTACGCAAAATTGTCAAAATATCCTCTTCTAAAAAGTAAAATAATCACGAACATAATTTGGCAACTTTTATTAGAAATCAATTTTTTATTAAGAAGTTAGGAATATTTCAAATTTATAAAACTTAATGTCTGAAATTTTTAAAAAAGAACGGTCATAGCAAATGAAATAGAAACTGACATTGAAAATTTTATAACATTTTAAAGTTAGCTTGTGTTAAGTTGAATAAAAAAAATTTTAATTAATGGTGGCTAAACTCAAATGGTGGCTTTTTCTGGCCATTTATTATGAAACATCTAACTTCACCACCAACTATTTTCCTATTTGTTTGTGAAATACACTGAGGAGCGTGGTTGAAAATCGCTGAAACAGAGCTTCAGAAACCGATCGATTGATTGAATAACTGATTGATTGATCGAACATGTTAACAAAGTTGAAACCAGGAACTAGTGAGATTTGTTTCATCAGAATCAAGAGGAAACGTGAAGAAGATCCAATTGAATCATTAGTATTTGTTTGCAAAAAAGCGAAGAAATGCTATAATGGTGATGAGGAACTATATAAAATTGAGAATAAGTTCAAGTTCGCTGGAACAGTTCATCAGGCTAATGTAAGTATCAGTTGAATTTTTTCTTTCCCATTCGTTTATTTCGTTCAGTGTTACTCATTTGGTTTGCTTCTATTAAATTTTTTAAATTAGTTTTTCAATTTTAACTCGTTTTGTATTTCAGGATTCCCTCATCCATCAAACTGTCAAAACTGCAATAAGACAGTGTAAACTGGAAAATGAGAGGAAGAGACACTGTGATATATGGCTGACGATACTAAACCTAGTAAGAAAAGAAAGATATCTCTTCATAAAGGATATCAAATTATTGGAAAAAAGACAGCCAAAACATTTGATTCGTTGGCCAATTTGGAATGTAATTTGGCAGATGAAAACCCAAAATTTTTCCTCTTCAATGTGGAAAAAATTGATCAGCCTCAGAAAAAGAAATCAAGAAATTGTCCAAAAAGGGACGCTGATGAGAAACAGAAGGAGATCAATTTCGTTTATGACGTCTTCTACATAAACGACTACAAATTTGATTTCTCGCTGTTTCAAAATGTTCAACACGTTGAAGCATACAAACAATGTGACGATGTTGAATATTTGGCAGAGGAGGAAGAAGATGAAGAGGCTTATGAAGAGGATGACAACGAAGATTGTGAAAACAACTGGCGGAACGACTACCTCGATGAATCATCCTGGTTCTACAATGCGGATCATAATTTCAGCTGCTATGACTACGTCCGAGATTATGAATGAAACATAAACAGATTCATTCATTTAACTGGATATTTTGTCATTGTCTTGGGCTGAAATAATTTTTCGTTTTATGAATAAATTTTATAAATGCAGTTAATACAATATTTTAACTTGAATTAAATGTGGTTTCAATATTGAATTAAATTATTTTGCCGCTTCTAATCGCAGTGTTCATGATCGCTTGAAATGAAACCACCTTGTTAACACGGCAACGCCCATAGTAATAATATTTGCATTGATTTAAAATAATGCTTAAATCAAAGTCTAAATTAAACAATCCATCTATTAAAACTTCACTGAAGACATGCATAAGTAAACAAAGAAAAAAATATAACAGCACATCGAAGACAAAGCAAGCAGGACAAATGCCTATTTAATTTTCATCACATTCTCTTAAACCCTTTTATGGAAGAACGTTTTGATGCTGATTTATAATGATAGCGACTTAGTACTACTACACTACTGCCGCTACTACTACTACTACTGCTGCTGCTGCAACTTGCATAACAGTAAAGAAAACATATTAATATTACCGTTATTACTATTATTTATTGGTATTATTGTAAATTTGATTTTATTATTACTATTATTGGTAGTATAATTTTCGTTTTATTGCTAGCGTAAGATTTGATGGTCCACATTGTTGCTGTAAAAAGTATTGACATGATGGTCGTTACTTCTACAACTACACGTATGTATGTAATATTTATTATTTTTCTTATTCTTATTCTTGGTATTTATATTTTTCTTCTACGTTTTCTTCTTTTTTTTCTTCTTCTTATTATTATTCTACTTCTTCTTCTTTTTCTTCTTCACATTTGTATTTTATTATTTATTTTTTATCTAATTCGATATTTTTCGAAAGTTGGGAATCAATGGAACGTTGTACAATCAAATCTATTCAATTGCTTTCTTGCTATTTATCTTTTTATAGTTAAAAACTAAAAATGGCTTTAATTTGATAAAACTATTGATCGATCGATTGATTGATTAAATAATCAATTAATTAGTTAATTAATTGATTGATAAATTAATTAACAGAGAAGATGCACACGTACGTAATAAATACGCCTCGGAACCATTCAAGATACCTGCTGGCGTCTACAAACAAACTGCTGACACAATGACAACACACACAAAAGAATTCTAAACACATAAAACATATATATAAATATATATAAATATATATATATAATTGCATATACACACAAACACATACATATACACAATACATACATACACACATACATAAACATATGCATGTACACATACGCGCGCACACGCACACACAAAACTATTATAGCGTAACTGCTTTTTCTTTTCTTACGTAACTCAAAATATCATTGACAACGGTGAATTACTTAAATTGTGAATTAATGCACCATGCCCGCTTTGCTCCTTCTAGGCGGGAACCACTTTCTTTCAAATTAAACACGACCACTGCAAGACAGATGCGTCATTTTTAATCGCCACATCTTCTATTGCGCGCCACACATGTACATCTTAAGTCGCACGCACACACTCACACAAACACGCACATGCGTACACGCACGCACGCACGCATACGCTCGCAAACACACACACACACACACACATAAACGTACGACAGATCATCATAGCAGACAGTGGCATGTACCAGGTACAACTGGCCACCAGCACCAACAATATGCAATGTACGACTATAAAATTAAGCTACAAAGCTGGAATTAAGCATTAAATGAATAAAAATATGAAAAATTCAAATAAAACAACGAAAAGGTGAACAAAGAACATGTAAAAAAGAAATAAAAGAACGAACGAATGAGTGAACGAATGGATGAATGAATGAATGAGTGAGTGAGTGAGTGAGTGAATGAATGAATGAATGAATGAATGATTGATTGAATGAATAAATGAATGAATGATTGAATGATTGAATGAATGAATGAATGAATGAACGAACGAACGAATGAATGTAAAAATAATTGGACGGAAGAAAAAATGACCAAATAAATGAATGAAAAAATAATTGAATGAAAGAATGAATGAATGAGCGTTTGTCGGCTGGTCTGCACGAGGATGAAATTAATTAAAAAGAAAATACAACCTGAAAGATTTTTTTGTTTAAACGTACGCAAATGTGATTTTGAGTTTGTTTGCGTGCGTTCGAGTTGTTTTTGTGCCTGTTCTCCGTTTGTTTGTATGGATGTGGCGGTATGTTTTTTGAGTTTGTATTGTCCAGTGGTCTTTTTGTATGTATGTATGTATGTATGAATATATTAAAAACATTTAAGCCAGTGATAACAAACTCACAAAAATCTATGCACACAAACAGACAGACAAAACAGAGAAACAGACAGAGACACACATACACACACAAACACAGACACACACAAACTCATTTTGATCTGATATGTTGTTTGTTTATCTCTTGCTGATTTTCAAACTCATTTATGATGTTTCATTTGAATTTATTAACATATCCTTCATATTAGTGTATGTGTGTTGCTGTGTTTGTTGTGTATGTGTGTTTGAGGTGTGTGTATGTTGGTGTGTGTTGGTGTATGTGTGTTGGTGTATGTGTGTTGGTGTGTTTTTGTGGTGTATGTGTGTTGGTGTGTGTATGTGTGTTGGTGTGTGTATGTGTGTTGGTGTTGTGTTTTTGTGTGTTTGTTAATGTGCGGCACATTGCAAGCGTTGATTTGAATGTCTTTGCTTTGACGTGTAAGGTTGGATGGGGAGGGATGGAAGAGATGGAAGAGACATGCGCAGAAGAAAGACAAACAGACATAAAGAGAGACACGCAGAGAGACACGCAGAAGCACACTCACAGACAGACATACAGACCGACAGACAGACAGCTAGTATGTCATCGCTCACGTGGCATACTCAAGAAATTTAAAGTAAGATTGATTGAACGACCGGATTGAAACTTAATTTAACTTTTAAACGTTTTTAGAATTCTTATTTGTATATTACTGATCATTTGTTCTCGTTTGTCGGGATGGAGATGCGTTACTTGCTGGTAAGCTCGGATAATGCCGAAATGAAATTAGGTTGAAAAATGTTATTCTTAATGAAAGATAATTTAATTGATTTAATAATTATTTATTGTAGAAAACATTGTTAATCGTTTTGTCTAGAGTTGTTCGGGACAAGCGTGTAATTTAATTACATTAATGGTGGTGTTCTTGGGTGATATTTCAATTTTCAGTACTTTGTGCTTTATTTCAAAATAGGAGTGTGAAAAAGTAAGAAACATCATTCCAAGAACTACGATGGTGTTCCATTAAAAGTTGCTGACGTAAATACCTCGATCCAGAAATACCTGAGAGATTTGAATGAAAATTAAATTAAAAATTCACTCACTCACTCACTCACTCACTCACTCACTCACTCACTCACTCACTCACTCACTCACTCACTCACTCACTCACTCACTCACTCACTCACTCACTCACTCACTCACTCACTCACTCACTCACTCACTCACTCACTCACTCACTCACTCACTCACTCACTCACTCACTCACTCACTCACTCACTCACTCACTCACTCACTCACTCATTCAGTTGCATGTCCTCTCGCTCCCTGGTTTCTTCATTCATTCACACGCGCAATCAATTTTTTCAGACATAGGAGAATTACAAACATAGTTTAGTGTAAATATTAGACTGTATTGGAAGATTGAAGCGCTCTTAAAATAATTGCAAATTGTTGCAGTAGAAGAGGCAACATTTTTGTGTTGCAGTGTTATTGTTGTTGTATGTTGTTGGAATGTAGTTGTTGTAGAATGTTGTTGCTGGAATGTAGTTGTTGTAGAATGTTGTTGCTGTAAAGATGTTGTTCAACGCTGTTGTTAAATGTTGTTGAAAAAACAAGTTGATGAATGTTGATGTTTTGTTGTTGAATTGCGCTGTATGTTATTAATAAAATTTTAAGCTGCTGTAATGATGTAATGGTATATTGTTGAAATGTTATTGAAATGTTGCTAATGTAATTTTGTTCTGTTGAATGTTCGTGTTGAAATGCTGTTGTAATGTTGAGTTTTTGCTAAATTTTATAAAAATGTTGTAGCAACATTGTTGTGCGACTTTGTTGTTGTTGTTGTTGAATGTTGAAATGTTGTTAGAAAAAATTGGGTGACAGAGTTATTTATGGTGTCAGTGTCTCTGATGTAGTGCTCGTGTTCTGCTTGCTGATGATGCTTTATTGGGGTTGATGTTTGCTGCTTTTGTTGTTGTTGCGGCAGCTGCTACTGTTTTTGTTGCGGCTGATGTTGTAGTTGTTGTTGATGGTTTTGCAGTTGTTGCAGTTGCTGCTGTTTTTGTTGATGTTAATGGTTTTGTTGTTGTTGTTGATGGTTTTGTCGTTGTTGCTGTTTTTGTTCATGATTTTGATGTTGTTGCTGCTGTTTTTGTTGATACTTTTTATGTTGATGTTGCTGTAATTGATGTTGTAATTGGTGTTGTGGTTGACGTTTTGCTATTGATTGTGTTTATTTGATGTTGTCGTAGTAGCCGATGAGCTTACTGATGTTGTTGTTTTTTGCATATTGGAGTAAATTAGTTGTTGTTGTTGTCGTCGTCAACGTTGTTGTTGTTAAGAATGATAATGAGTCTGTCGTCGTATTTGTTGTTGCTGTTTTAAATCTTACAATCATTACAACCGTTACAGATGTTATGTAGATGTATGCTATTAGTGATGATGTTTACAATGTTCTTAGTTGTTGGTATCGCAACCTTTGTTGTTGTTGCATTTGCTATGGATGTCAAAGAAACATTTTTTTGTAATTTTTTTTACGTTTTAGTCGTGACTCTTTTTTTTACCGATGATGCTAATTATGTTGAATTTTTCAACTTTTTAAAATTATAAAGACGACAAAATTATTAACGTCATAATAACTAAACTCAAAGTTGAAAAATACAGAAGTAACTAATTAAAATATACAAAGTTTTAGTACAATCCAAGTTTTAAAAAGTCACACGTACACGCACACACACACACACACACACACACACACACACACACACACACACACACACACACACACACACACACACACACGTACATGTATATATAAAATATAGTGTATGTGTATGCACAAACACACAAACACACATGCAATTACATAAATATATACAAAATACAAACGCATACACATGTATGCGTCTTATAAATGCGCACGTAACGCATATGCAGCTGGATATCAGTGGTGCAGATGCAGGCAGGCGTTTCTTGTAACCTTCTTAAAAAGCTTTCCACTCATAGTTATTGTTTGGCCATGCAGTGTGCACCCATCCCGTGCTTTGCAATGCAACAATACTCTTTGCCTGTGTCTGTAGCATTCTTTCAAGTTTTCCATATCTATTTATTTATTGTTGTTTTCAAATATGTAATAATGTAAAGACATTTTGATTAATTTTTAGTTGGTTTTTTAGCAGTTTGTTAATTATTAAACCATTAACATTATAATAATAATATTCTATACAATATTGCATGGTTTGTAGTGTTAATATTTAAACTATTTGCTAGCAACGTGTAGGTACGTTACAAACATGTTATAATAAAGTTAAATATTGCATAGTGAACTTTTTCATTAGTGATAATATTTATAAAAATTAAAATAGTTTATTTGTCGTTAAATTTAATTATATCAACATTTAATCAATTTGTTTTCAATTTTAAAACAAACTTAATCGCTTAATCAGGTTAGCGCCGATTTCAATTCATTTAGAAATTTAATTATCGAGTTCATTTCGGTGTTGAATTGATGTAATGATACCCACATTGCTGTCATCGTTGTTGTTGTGTTGTTGTTATGTTGTTATTGCTGTTTTCATTGTTGTTGTTGTTGTTGTGTTGTTATTGCCGTTTTCATTGTTGTTGTTGTTATTATTGTTGTTGTCATGTGTTGTTGTTTCATATCATCTCATTGCCTCGTGCAAACTGTTCTTAATATTAATTAAAAGTGGTCTGAAATTTTACTAATTAACCTTAGCGATGCCATAAAATGATAATTAAAATAGAATAATAAATAACAATTACTATAATAAAATAAAATAAAAAATACAAATAAATGGAAGAATTAAAATTTTTTTAAATGACCAAACTTATATAATAAGGTCTGTTAAAACTTCGAACGAATGACACAAGAAAGTATGCGATCGCGTGGTGAACCAATGCAGAAGTTTCGCAATAACGATTGCTATGATGAAATCTTTGCTATCTCGTAAGACAGATTTTGGTATTTTCTTTTTCTATTTTCATCATATTTAATTCTGGAAAATTTCAATTATCTATGAATCGGTTTAAACTTTTCAAGATTTTGGCTTGTTTTTAAAAAGTTACAATAATTAGTTTTTTTAGAAGTTTTAAGAAATTTATTCGAAAATAAAAAAAAATCAATTTATAACATTTTCATAAATTTTGCATAATTTTGTTAAAATTCCAATAGATGTAGGTAGACGATGTAATGTGTTGTTGTTTCATATCATCAACGTCAACTCAAAATATTAATAAGTTATAAGCACTACTTTTTGGTTCAGCCCGCTTTCTGTTTCATCTCAAACCAAATTCTATTAGCACAGCTATGCAAAAATTCATATTAAATGACAAAAAATATTATTGACCAATTGAAAAACACTGAACTATTTAGCATTTTAATAGTTAATAACATCCACATAAACACCAAACAAAACAAAATAATCTAACAAAAATCATTCTCAAATTTCAAAGCGAATTCGTTATTTTTAGCTTTCATATCAAATGCATTTCCTATCTTCTCAAATGAAACAAAATTTTTCTTGAATTATTTAGCGCTAAATTTGAAATCATTTGAATTTATTCTGGGCACACATGGCAAACATTGACAGACGCATAGCAAGGCAAATATATTTCATATTCCAACTGACAATGCGATACGTGCTGTATCTTGCGACTAAGGCAAATGCATTATTTTTTTCTGTGTGCTCCCAGCCACGTATACATCAATGCAATTTTTAACAGACTCTATATTATTATTCGATAAACGCTAAAATTTAGCTTTTTTTCATAAAATAAAGAAATTTTCCTCTTGTGATGTTTTTTATTGTATGCGCTAAAATGACAACCCATTTAAAAGATCCTTAATAAATATATGTTTTTTTAAGGGTGCTAAACCAAATGAAATTATGAACAGCAGTTAGCTCAATATTGAATAAACCCAGAAAGTAGCTTTAATAGATGTCCTCTTAATAATGCATGCTTGGCGGTTACTAGGAATAACAACTAGGGAGTAACACTACCCAAAAAAAATGACGACGTTTAAGTTGGTGGTGTTGGTCTCTTTCAATGTTGTTGTACTGTGGTTGGTGCATTGTGGTTGTTAATTGTTGTAGCAAGATTCTTATATTTATGATCTATGTTATTTTGTATTTGGTTTGTATAACAATTTGCTTCTGATTCGTTCTTGTATTCCATATATGTTCTGTTAACATGTTAATTACTTGCATTTATTAATCTCTTTATTTCGTCATTAATGTTCAGTTTCGGCTGGTGACTTTATTTTCTTTCTGAATAGTTAATACTAATAATGTGCATAGTTAGCTTTACACATTGGTTTGAAAAATGGTTACGTTACAGAGACATTAGGTTATTTCTTGAAAGTATTTCGTTATATAGAACTATTCAAAAGGCATTAAAGCAATGCTGCTTCAGATGTTAGTACCATGAGTTCTTGGTCTTTGTTTTTTTTCGCTGTGAGAGAGAAAAAGGGCAGATATGATCATTATATTATGATACTAAATGGGAAAAATACGTGCTCCATGCGTGCACACCGCCGTCTGAAGAATGACTCTTTCGTTCAGTAAAAGTTTTTGAGTGACAACATTTTTTTATCTTTTTTTTTTATATGAAAATGGTTTTAGAATAACAAAATTTATATATATATATTTTTTATTTGAAAATAGTTTTTTCGGAGACGGTTTTAATGTTTTTTTTTATTTAAATCATATTTTAGGTGACTTTTTGAAAAACTAGTCAGTATTTTTCTAAATTTTAGTTTTGTTTGAGTAGCAGCAAAAATGATTTATTATTAATAATAACGTTGAATTTTATTAACTTTAAAAAAAAATTTTACAAAATTTGTCTTGCATTTTTTTCGTTTAATTGTCCGTTTGTTTGTTCGTTTGTTGTTCGCTTGTTCATTCATTCGTTCGTTTGTTTGCTTATTTGTTTGTTTGTAACACGTTGTGATGTATATGTTTACGTTATGTTGCTTGGATGCAACAATTCTGAATTAAAAAAAAAGGTTTATGCTATAATGTTCGTGCTCCAATATAACATGTTGGCATGTTTGCCTCACATAGGCTCTATACTAATAACCATCGTGCTATATGTTTATAACACATGTTCACATTCAAATGTTTATGTCGCGATGTTGTATGCCGAGATGTTTATGTCACTGTGCTTATTTTTCCTTGTACGTATGCCTGATGCAATTTATTAGCACCATTCTTCAATTCAACAGCAATTTGTGGTTAGTTACGTATGCGTGTATGTTTTTTGTATGTTTTTGTATGAATGTTTGTATTTTTTTGTATGTATGTATTTTTGTATGTTTTTGTTGTTGGTATGTTGTTTGTGTGTATATTGTGTATATTTATATATGTGTGTTAAGTTCTTTTTTGTAGCTTTTTGTGTGGCTTTTTTTGTCATTTTGGTTATTATTTTTTATAAGTTGTTGTGATGTTTGTACGTATGGGTTGTTATATCAGAGTTAAATTTCATCTTGTGGTTGTATTTGTTATACAAACTAACACAAGCAGAGCACATACAAAGAGTTGTTATGGCGTTACAAAATACATTTAACATGTTTATTGAAAACAATTAATTCAAGAAGATCATGATGAAACCGTTATCAGAGTAATGCAAATTTTATGCAAGTTTTTTTGTTAGTTAGCAGATTGTGAAAAGATTTTTTTTTTTAAAATAAAAAGTAATCATTTTCATAAATACTTCAAAATAAATGTTAAACAACAACAATGTAAATGTATATGGCTGATTGTCTTGTAATGTCGTAGCCACATGAACATTTCAACCGCATGAAATCATTATTTAACAGAAGCAACTACAATAATTTCTGCATAAAAACAGCAATGCCAACATTAACACCAATAACATCAACGACAACGAAAAAAGAAAAACAACATTATCATCAGCAACAACAGCAACAACAACGACGACGACGACAAACAACAACAACTACATTTTCACAAACGCAATCAATATGAATGAACATCTTAACGACGCTACTGGAATGTCTAACAAATTTAAACACATCAAAATCATCAATAAGTGCTGCCGATATAGTAACAAAAACAACAAAATCAACACCACCACCAACAACAGACGCAACAACAACAACAAAAGACGTAACAACATCCACAACACCACGTTTTAGATAAATCTTAGTTGGAAATTCTCCCAAGACATAGCAGAAAATAGGAGTAAGAAAAACAACGTCATCACTCAGTAGAGTTATTCTCTATAAATGGCCGGTAGTTAGTTAGCTGCTCATTGAAGCTTCATTCAATCAACAAAACTGCATTCTCATATCCATCAAAATAATTGAATGTACTATTGATAATTACTTCAACAGCAAATACAACAATAATAATAACATCGACAACAACAGCATAAAAACGATAATAATAATAATAATAATAATATTATTATTATTATTGTTAGAATAAATAATGTGAATAGTAACGTTACTTTATTTCCGTACACTGATGAAACACTATTTTAAATTGGAGAAAAAGTCGATTCGTGTAACAGCAATTCTTTAGCCCAGTAACATCATAGACGCCTATCTGAAGAAAAAAAACATCAACATCAAAGCAGCAACAACTACAACGATCAGCTACAACGATATAAAAAACAACTTTGACGACAGCGACAACATTGACGGTGACGACGACTTCAACAATCGCAAAGACATCAACAAAAACAATTACATCAATACCAACACCAACATTTGCAACAACAACATCAACATCTGCAACAACAACATCAACATCTGCAACAACAACATCGATATCAGCAACAAAAACATCGATAATAACAACATCCAGAGCAACAAAAACAACAAGAAAGACATCAACAAATCCCACAACAACATACATTGTTGTCAGATGTTCGTTCAATTGAACGTTTGCCGCACGTTGAATTCATTTATCCTAATCACCTCAATCATTGGTTAGTTATTTTTATTCATTTATTCATATATTAATTTATTCATTTATTCATGCATTTGTTCGTTTTTTTGTTTACTACAATTCTCTCATCAACATTTTCCAGCAACAACAGCAAACACATACATACAAAATCATACACGTGAAACAAGGCAACACACATTGTATGTTATAGGCGAGGATTATCCGTGCCATCGAATCAGGTCACAGCAATACCAGCTCCAGACACTTTCACACACACACTCTTTCCCTCCCTCTCACTTTTCCCTCTTTTTCTCTCTCTTTTTCTTTCTATCTTTCTATTCCTTCTTCTTATTTTTGACCATCCTACGTCACGTCCCACTCATCTACAGACCTCCTCGAGGAAGCTAATTAAAACGGCCAGCCAGCATCATATACTGTAAATCTTACGTGAAACACGCGATGCATTATTATAACAAGCACCTTCCATACTTTCAACGCCTCAATACGACGAGTGTCCACCTAGTTTTTATAAGTTTAAGGTATTTTTTAGTAGGTTCTTAATTAAATGAACTGATTTTTATGCAAATTCTTATTGTCTGTTAGTGTAAATTTTTTAAAATTGGTTTTTTAAAATGACGTTATTTGCTTAAAAATTTATAGTTTCACGTTTTTTTCTTTGTGATAATTTTTTCAGTGCGCCGCTGCTATCAACACGACTCGTTTCAGAAACAGTGCAAGTTGTAAAGTGCATTACAGAATTTTTTAATTCACGAAAGTAGCTCCGCACCCGTGGCAAAAAGGCGCAATAATTTCTTTCAAAAAAAAACATTCCATCTCACATTTTCTCCCAATCAGTCCAGTCCATCTTTCTATTTTTTGCTACTTGCAACAGGGAAGAATGCGGCTAACCCAACAGCGTTAACGATGTGAGTGGTGTACTTCAAATGCTCCTCTACACAATGTGGTTTGGTCTGGTCTGGTGTGGCGTCGATGGTGTAGCTTTGGTTGTGTGATGTGGCGTCGGTGGTGTGGTGTGGACCAAGTGAATGAAAAACGAAAAGCAAACAATTCGAGTTTGCCGCTCGAAAGCACTGAAATCTTCAATTAGTTTTGTGCATCGGCTTTCTTAAGTGGCCTTCTACTCATGTATACATGCGTGCGTTTAATGAAAGCACACACGCACATGTTTACACGTACGCACGCAGTTACTTCATTTAGCGTATAATCCACCAAAAATTAATGAACCTTAGCCGGTCCGTGATATTATTTAAGTGTTTGTATGAAAATCAAGTAATCCGAGTTTTAACGTGTTTGTTTAGCAGTCAGACTTTCACAAACAACTCCCCGATCTAAAAACACCAACATGCAGAAATGTACCTAAACATGCAGGTATACTTACACTTACATAGAAGCATACACAAAAAATGTTTTTCCTGTGTTACGTAGTGCTCCTGTATTTATTTGTAAGTCAAAATTTGATATTTCATACTTTCAATAATAATTTTTTTCATTTGCCAAATTTATAATTTGTTCTATTATTATTACAGTTTATTTAAATTTATGTATCGAAAAGTCATCTTCAACAAAATCAAACGCGACCAGCCTATTTTGAAATTTTTTTCAGGAATGGTGTGCAATTGAATGAAACTTCAGAGATTAAATGTTGCGCTGCCAATCTTGCAGTGAAACATTTCATGGCAATTTTAATTAAAAACTTATTTGAAACTAAATAAATCATAAAAAAACGTCTATAACGCTTCAGAAGAAAGAACAATAAAAGATCTAAAATCAGATTTTTCCATATTAATTAAGTTCCTCGGTTAATAAAGCTCATAGTTGAAGCCTGTATGTTAAGTATATTAACATTGATTAAAGTAATAAACGAAGCAGTTGTAAGAAAGCAAAATCACCAAACTGTAATTAAGAAAACAATGACACGAAGTTCTTTTAACAAATAGGCTCAATGTTTAAATCACGTGTAACCAGTGGTTTCTATAGCTAAGCATATTTTTTGGGTCGATCCTTTCTTGAGGATCAGATGTATAGCCCGCGACTGGCGGTTCTAACTGATTCAACATACGACGAATTTAAGCGTTAAATGAAAAACTCTATTAGCTGAATATTTTATAGAGGAAGTTTTATGATGGATAAAATATTTCATAAAAGTAACAAGCGAGCGAACAAGCTAGTTGAACTTATTAACAATTCGTTGACAGAAATCGAAATATCTCGAACATCACACCAAATCCCCCATAAAGGGCTGGAAGTATTTAATCGAAAGTTTTAAAAATGTCCAGGCAAGATGTTTTGTAGTCTTGAAAATTGAATGGAGTTCTCTTCTAAAAAATATATATATATAAACTTATACACTCCCTCACCACACACACACACACACACACACACACACACACACACACACACACACACACACACACACACACACACACACACACACATTACACGTTACAGTTATATAAATTTACAACTAGCTATCATATGATCATCTTCATTAATCAACTTTATAAGACTGTCACGAACATACAGACAAACACTACCACATCTATCCATAAATCATGTGCCTCTAAATGTTTGTGTGCGTGTGTTTGTATGGTGTTTGTATGTATAAACATCGTAGCCTATATTTATTTATATATATATATATATATATATATATATATCATCATACACGTTTATATGCACTCTTTTATATGCATATATCGTTAAATTTATATGCCCATTCTGCATTTAGTAGTTTTTTAAAGACAACTTCAATACGACGTAAATTTTTATACTCCTATTTATTTAATGTCATAATTTAATTAATGTTGTAAGTGTCAGCTGACAGCGCTGTTTCGGCTATTTAGCCATCGTCGGAGCTGGATTTAATATTTTAAGATGAAATTAAATTAAGATTATTAAAATAATATTAAAGTAAATATTGAAATTTTATTGGGTTTTAACAATGGTGTGAAACAATTTAAAAAGGTTTAAAAGATTTAAAAAAAACATATGAAACGTATCTTTAAAACAAGGTTAAATAAAGGAATAAACATAAAAATGAAATTGATAATTAAATAATTAAAACGAAGTTAAATAAGGTAACGTACTTATATACTTATATATACTTATATATATATTGTATGCGTTTAAATAGGCGGAACAGCCCAGTGTTCGTTCCAGGGTTTGTTGACGAAAGCCCCATGTTGGCTTAGTTGCACACGCACACATTATGCATGTACGTACATACTAGGTTTAGGATTCCATTAACATAAATTTGTTGTCAGGTACTAATCCAACTTTTACTCCAACTCACAATACCCACTTCAGACAGGCTTGAGACTGGCATGTACGAAGAGAAGAATCGCTCTTTCTGTCAAAGTGGCTTGCTTCTATTTTCCAACAGCATTCACACATAGCGGGGTAAAGCGAATTATGTAATATATATGCGAGCTACATGCACATGAACTTCTGGATGAAAAATATTTTACAGTTGCTTAAATTTCTCAATCCCCGAATGCATAAATCACGTATTCAATCAATTAATAGATGAGATTGACTAGTCTACGCAACTAGTCATGCATGTATGTGTGTATGTATATATACATACATATATATATATATATATATACGTATATATATATGTATAAATATATATGTATGCATATATTTATATATGTGTGTGTGTATGTGTTTGTGTTTGTCTGTGTGTGTGTATGTGTTTGTGTGTGTGGCCATCATTCACATCAATTTCTTAGTTTTTTTATTAACTGTACCTGGCATTTGATCTGGCAGCAATAACGCAACAACAACTAACAACAACAGCGAAACAAACAAACAAACGAACGAACGAACAAAAGAACGGACAAACAAACGAGCAAACAGACAAACAACTGAGAATATATGCATTCAACATGTTCTGGAGCAGCAACCACCACACCATCGTGACAAATTTCAAGTCTCAGAGCATCATTACAATCCCGCTGAATTACTACATGCCATTTAAATGTTGTTGGAGTTGTGCTGTTGTTGGCGGTACAATTTTTTTTTATTTATTAACCTAACGATATTTTAGCACCACTAATGTAAGATTTATGTTCTGTTATAATGAATTTAACTGATGACTAAAACCACATAGTGTATTTAAAGAAGTTTTTAATGATTTTTTAATAAACTTCTTTTAACAGTTAATCATTTTTCTGTTACTAATTATTTTACTAAATTATTATCCTAATTATTATTAACTACCATTTTCCCAATCTACTCTCAATAGTTAATTACGTTCGTTGTTGTCGCCTCTTGGTACGTTTCAAGAGGTTGTTTGCCCGCACTGAAATTGTTTACAAGGCTCTGTTATGTTAGTCTGTTGGTTGTGTTGTACATCTTGGCTCATGTGCGTACTAATATGTGGTGTGGTGTATACTTTTGTGTGTGTGTTGATTATATATATATATATATATATATATATATATAAGTGTGTGTGTGTATGTCTGTATGTATTAAGTATGTGGTGTATGTTTGTATGTGAAGTGTATGTGTACGTGATGTACGTGTGTGTTTTGTGTTTTTGAAAATTGTATGTAATATGGGTGTGTGATGCTTTATTGAGCATTAACAGGAGAGTGTTAGAATTAGTGTGTTTAACGTTTTGGCTTGCCTGTGTTTGTGCGTGTGCGCGCGCGTGTGTTGTGTGTGCGTATAAGTTGTTTACACTTTTAATGAACAAAATTTGCGTTGGAGGAAGGCCTCTTGTTAACCTCAGTGCGATGTACTTTGCTGTTGGGCCACTCTGTTCGTTGTGATGGTGGATTGATCAAGTTGTGGAGTTTGCTGTTCTTTTTGATGTTGGTGATGTTAATGTTGATGTTGTTCTTGATGTTTTTGGCCGATAATTTGAACCCGGATTTTATTATTGTTGACAACACAGAAGTTCTTATTGTTCCGTTGTCACCGTTTTTTTTTTTATTTTGACTGGTGCAATCGTATGAGGAGTTGTCACAAAATATGTAGTGAAGCTTGCACTGCATAAAGCATTAAATAGTTTTACGTTAGCGATCCTTTTAAATAATGAACCAACTGCTGAGAAAATATGTGATTAATTTCTAATTGAGATTAAGATTTTTCTAATAATAAAGCGCTATATCAATGCACCGAAATGACATAGATCAAATGCAACGAGATTCTAATCTAGTATATTATATAGATGTCCGTTCATGGCAATACTAAGTGAACAAGTTGTTTATTATAAAATTGACAATTTGAAATGATTGGACAAAAAATATATATAATTTATAAGCTTTTAAAATTTTTTTCAGCTGACATTTTTATCTTTTTATTTTCTTTTTTCTTTCCTCAATATCCATTTTTTTTTTTACCACTTCTTATTTTATTTTCAAATTTTTGAGTATTTTGCGATGAAGTTTTTTTCGTTTGTGATTAAGTTTTGAGAACATTTTTTTTAAAATGTAGAAGAGAGTGAAATTCATGCCTAGAGTGATGACGTACATTATTATTGAAGTGAAGAAAAAACTTGATGATAGATTCAGTAATTATACTCACCTGCGTTTGAAACTAATTGCAAGTTTGTTTTTTTTTAAATAATTTTGCGTTAACGTCATCTTTATTCATATTTATTTGTTATGTTTTATTTTCTAATATTTTTATTCATTATATTTTTACTTTAAAGATATCAGAGTTGTTGTTAATGGTACGTAAAGTCTTAACCATCATTGTTCCTCATAATGATTTATTGTTAGCCATGCTTGTTCAAGTTTTTGATCATTTCCAAATTGTGAGATTATTGTAAGATCTTGCAGAATTTTTAAAATTAATAACTGCGTTGTTTTAAGTAGTAAATAATTTGTATCCTACCATTTTAAAACAAAAATTTTTACACAAAAAACCAAACAGAATTTTTAAATTTTCCCGCATAATAAAATTTTTTTCAGTTAAAGCTCGAACCAGCCTGAAAACCGCAGTTCAACTTTAGAGCATTAGGAAGCTGAGTTTTAATGGCTCCCCCGGGGTTCGAGGAAAGTAGTTTAAGTGTTGGCCTATCGTAAACTTTTTATTCCAATTATTTCCGTGCTCTTCATTTAAAAATATTCCCTTTCAATAATTTTTTGTTCTGGAAATTAATTTTTTTGCGTTTGAAGTTTAATTTTTTTCATTTTAAAACATTTGAAGAGCTATGACACCACTAAGTAAAAAAATTTGAATTTTAGTGGATGATGGTTAGAAAACAGAATTAAATTTGCAAAATCAATAAAGAAAAATTGGATGGTAACTGTTTAAATTTGAAAAATTACCTTCAACTATGAAATTTAGCAAGAAGCAAGAATGAAAGTGAATTTTATGTCCAAAAATTGTCTAAATTACTTTGCTTTTTTAAAAACAAAAATCTTTCAAAACGACCTAGTTGTTGGCGACCTAGTTAGTGGTGACCTATTTAGTAGTGACTTAGTTAGTAGTGACCTAGTTAGAATTCATACCAAACCCCAACTGCTCCTCATCCTTTCTTTTAAGTACAGCATCATTCTGCTTTTCAAGACTAATCTTCTGTGAAGTTCATTCAATCAACCAAACAAACATGACATTTTCATCTTTCAGAAATTGATTGATTGAAAAAATTATGTTTTAAAATGTAGTATTAATTTCCTATTTCTATTTAATAAAGTGATACAAATTATAGAACGTCATATTCTAGCGTATGACAATAATAATATAACATGTATGTGGCAAATCAAGACAACTAGCCTAACCCGGCAATAAATCAAAACGCATTAGCAACAATATGCCACAATATTCGCAGTGTCACATCGCATTAATAACCCTAACTCGACAAAATGAAAAATATCCCTGCCCCCTGAAATATGAAACGTGAAGGTCACGTACACGAAGGTCACACATCTGGCGGTCACAACTAGATACAACAACTCAAACACTAACTGCACTTCAAGAACAACAGTTACAGCAGCACCAGAAACAACAAAAACAACAAGAGTAACAACTAGAACAACAAACAGCAACGACAACGTCGATATCCCGTTTAATCTAAAATTTTGATTCGCAGATTTGCTCCTCATATCGATCGAAATATAAATAATAAATGCTCACGCACGACATTCGCCCGAACGGAAAATGTAAGTACGATTTGCAAATGCATGTTTATGCATGGCTCGGTTATGCGAACCCACTCTGACGCACATTGCAACATGAACACACTCAGTCGCGCGCGCGCGCACACACACACATACATACATATCCACGCATACAAACTGACAAAAACACACACACAGTTATACACATTTAGTGATGCACGCATCTTTAGATACTTTAGATACAAGACATAGAAGCACACAAACATATGTGCGTATATAAAGCGACACACATACGAACATACATACAGACACAGACCACAAGCAACTTCAGCAAAACATAATATTATTATTCGACAGCGCTTTGTGAATCTTCAACAAGAGAAGGCTCAACAAAATTGTTGGTGCAAGGAAATATTCAGTGCAATGAAAAAAAAATGAATTAGATGTTCTTGAACAAACAAATTTTTATAGTAGAAAAATGTCTTGAATGAATAATTGAGCAAAAAACATTTAAATGTTGACTCTATTTCAATCAGTTACGTCAGTTATGAAAAGTTTTTAATAATTTTTTTTCATGTAAAAAAAAATTAAATTACGTCTTTATATTAGAGTTGAAATATTGTTATTAAAAATATGTTGAGATTTTAAATCCAAAGCAACCGACATTATTTTGTGATAATTTTACAAAAGAATGTCGGTTGCGTTGTTGTTCCGACAGTATAAGTTATATCAATTTGCTAAAGTAGGTAGAAAAATGTTTCAACAAATTTTTATAAAATGAAAAAGTTAACAGCTAAACGGAAGATACATTTAATGTTTCAGTTACCACAAAACACAATTGAACGTAAAGTTTAATATCGAAACGAAATTAAATGTTGGATGTCACAGCGTAACGAAATTGTACGTTAGACGCAATAGCGAAACGAAATTAAATGTTGGCAGTTATAACGAAACGAAATTAGAGTTGTTTTCTGAACCTGGCAGTCAACTTTCTGACATGATTTGAAGGCTTTTCAATACGTATTTGTTTGGTTGTCATTATTTTTAATGATACATGACAAACTATAGGCGCGCACACACCGATAACACACGCACTCTCGCACGCACACACGCGCGCACAACACATACAAACATACACACACACGTGCGCGCGCACGTGATATTAGAATTATCAATAATACATAGGCATACGAAAAGACGGACGAATTTAATAATAGGCAGTTAGAGGAATACTTCTGATAGTCAGATAAATATTGAAACGAATTAATAGATGGATGGAAAGATAAATAAATGAATAGATGAATGAATGAACAAAGTAACAAATAAATAGCTGAATGAGTGAATAAATGAATAAAAAAATGAACGGAGAAATAGTTGGATAGATGTGGAGTAAAAAAACAGAGAGAGTTAGAGCCTGAGGCATGCAACTGATGGAACGGGAACGTGTGTGCTAGGTAGGCTGTGAGATTAATTCATCATCCACAATAACAATAAGAAGAAGAGGACAGTGTACCGCAGTTGTGAATAAGGTCTCCATATATCATATCGACGTCTAGATGATTTATTTAATTGTGGAAAAAGTATTTATTGCTTTTCTATTTTAATAAAAGATTAAGTTTTTCATTATGATTATTTAAATTTTTTAAGAAATTTTTAAAGTTTTCGGGTTCAATATTTTATTGCTATCCTGATTGTTACTACTTGTATAACTGTTATTAAAGTTATTATTCCTTCTTTATAGATGTTTTAGGAATAAATTATTGAACTGAATAATGCAACCTCACATTGTTTGAACAACCTTTCCATTTTCCATTTCAAAATTTATTTAAACAATGATTATTATTTTTATAACTATAAAAAATTAATTTATTTTTTGTAATAAAATTTGTAAAAAAAGAATTTGAATATTGTTTCATATTTGTTATGATCAATTTTTGGAAAAATATTTCATTTAGTTACTAGATTTCCATTATAATATAATAAAAACACCAACACACCACACACAAACACACACAAACACACCCACACACACACACATGCATGTATGCACGCACGCAACCTGAACTTAAGATGACAAGAATAATTTATAAAATAATTGATACGCCGTGTAAGGTATGTTTGAGGCAAAAATGTATACACAGGTTTTGATTGATAATTGTTTTTATGCAAGTTTTGTTGCATCTGTTATCTCTCCCTTTCTTTATCTTTTCTTTCTCTCCCCCCCCCTCTCTCTCTATTTATCTGTTTTTATCTATCTATTATTTCTCTTTTTACCTCTGTTATTCTCTTTTTCTCTCTTTCCACCTTTTATACCAGTCTCTCTCGTTTCACTCTCCTAAATTTTATTTCGACAACATGAATGTATTTTTTTTTCAGTTGATAGCTCATGTTTTGTTGTTTCATTGTCTCAGGCATTTGATGATTTGGTATGCTGGCTAAAGAGAGAGTTGTTGTTGCTGTATTGTCAGATGTATTCCATTGATGTCAGATGTAGTTGGTTGCTTCTAGTTTCTAATGATTTTTTTATATTTCATTTTTAAAATGATTGGTGATGTTTGGTGTTTATGTGGAGGTTTCAAACTGTTACACGAAATTTGAGTTGTTAACTATGGAAAATTTACTGATTTGGTTTTTAATGAATTGTTGATGTTTAGGCTTTTTATTTCAAGGACGTGATCGATTATAACTTTTAATTTTTTTTTATAATTTTGATCATTCATTCAATATTTTAATGAAATATTTTATGTCTTTCAAAACAAAAAATCGAAAAAATGTTCAGTGCATTTGTTCACTCTATATGTATATATATATATACCCTAAAAACCGCCTAAAAAAATACAACAACGACAACAACAATAATGATAGTGACATTAACAAAAGATAGCATCAATTCTTTGTAGCGGATTAAAAATCATTAGCATTTTCATTGAAGTTGCTGGCACTTGTCTAGTCGTATGCAAATGTGCGTAACAACGAGCATTATGTATGCATAATATGTACGAATGTTTATGGGTTTCTTTATGCACCATTGTTCTTAATACACTAATTCTCTTTCTTGTTGCGTGTATAAAAAATTATTGTGGGAACACATTTGCGTACAAATATTATTTGCATGTGGGATTAAGTGCAAGTTATCTTGTTAATGTTCCTCACACACCTTCTTACGTAACGAAAATTCTCTCAGTGTGTGATTGTGTGTGTGCGTGTGATTGTGTGTGTGTGTATGCGTGTGTGGTGATGTGTGTGTGCGTATGTGTGTGATTGAGTGTATGTGTGTGTGTGTGTGTGTGTGTGCGCGTGTGTGCGTGCACAGTTCGATTCTTCCATCTCTCGCCCTTCTTGTTTGCAGTTGCATGCGCTTTCCTTTTATGTTGTGTGCGCTGTTTGTGTAATTTAGAATTAAGTCTCTTGTTTGTTGCCCAAACAAAAAGGAGTTACCGTGTGTAACGTCCAAGTCCTTCTTTTTGTGTGCAAGCATTTACAATCGAAACACACATATTCTAAAATTAAAAAACTATATTGATAAGTTTTCATTCCTATACATGTAAAAATTATTATCAAACACTGAAGAAAGATTATATTGGTGCTATAATCGTGAATTTTGTCGATTTGAATGTTTGGTGAACCACTGCAAATAATATAACAAATATTTCTTTTAAATTATTAAAAACGGCTATAAGATTACATTTCCACGTTTCAACTACAATGTTACTGGATAATGCACCAACATTCGTTTCCATGGACACCGGCTAATTTGCATTTGCCATTAAATAGTTTGAACAATCAACCAACAAGCATAATATTGCAACTGGTAGTTGTTAGACGCCTGGAACATCTGGAAAGTGAACAACTGCTTGACGAATGGTTCGCATGCAACATGGAGGATGGGACGAGCAAGTATGTAGAGGATAGAAATTAATAAAATAGTCCCAGTGTTTATGCGCAGGACTATTAGCAATAGTAGAAAAAAGCTGATTGCATTTTTTTTCTCCATGAATATTTTACAAACGGAATCGAAGGTTGAAAGTTTTATTGCCTACGTTGTTCATAAAAAAATTTCAGCAGTTTCACATCTAGAATATACAAACAACGTTCACAGGAAAACAATTTGAACAAATAGATTATTTTCACAGTAGCGTGTGCTGTCATTAAGTTCCCAGAAATGTGCAGAATCACGATGCTTGCCTACACACGCAACTTGCCAAATATGCTCTTACGTGAACAAAATATGCGTGCATTTTCAAGTTTAGTGACGAATTGTTGCACTGTCCCCTGCGTTTTCGTAACGATAACATTAAAAATACATTAAATGAAAAACAGTTTATATTAAATTCAATAAAGGCAATGAAAATCATTTTGTTATTATTTAAAATATTTTTATGCCTAATTTAAAATCCTTCAAACATTTGCATCAACAACTTTAAAAAACATTAAAACGTTAATACAAACATCAACATTCCCATCAAAAAGATATACATTTACGTCAAAAACATCAACAAATAGAACAGCAACAACATCAACAATCACGTCAATTAATCTTTGAAATTAAACCACTTAACCTAACCAGAATGGAGTGATATCTTCATGTATCATGATATTTTTCCGTTGAAATATTTTCAATGCAATACATGTTCGTTTTATCATCCTGCTTCTCCCATCTGACGGCTGTCTATCTGCTTGCCTGTTTTACTATCTCTGCCTCTCTGTTTGTCTGTTCACGTAGCTGTCTGATTGTTTGCGTGCTTACTTGCGTGGTTGCTGGTCTGTCTGCGTGTACAACCTGCACGCTATCTCCTCGGCAATATTTAAACGTCATCATAACGGATCACGCTAGCATTCCTAACATACAAACGCACAGGAACGCTTGGAAACATGCACAAACAAACACGCAGATGGACACGCACGTATCCATATTTAATGTGCCCATGCTGGCATACGTGTGTGTGTGTGTGTGGTGTGTGTGTGTGTGTGTGTGTGTGTGTGTGTGTGGTTGTTGTACAGTTGTGTGCATTTGCAATGGAGGCAGTAACCTACATATGTGGTCTTGAGCGTACGTTTAATCGTTGAAATAAAAATGCAATAAAATTTATGGATACATTGAACTGAAAAATAAAATATATGTAGGCACGGCATTTACAAACACGTCTATTTCTCAAAATTGGGCACGCACAATTGAACACACGGTAATTCATTTTGCACTCACAACACACATTTCACTCGCATATTCATTCAAATACAATTTGGACATTTTCAAACACACAGACGAACGCACAAATAAAAACGTACAACAAAAACACACACGCATAAAAACATTCACATGCACACGTACACAGGCATATATACGCTTACACACCAATGTACACGCATACATACACGCACACGCACTGATCTCCAATTCCAAGAAGGTCGGTCCCCACACGAGCTATTGAACATTGGAGGGGGGCATCATATATTGTATTGTTGTAATCTCCGGCATCTATATCAATCAGTTCATCATCCTTTATGTCATCACCTCTCATCATTTTTGTTATCATTGTATTCATCATCATCAGCGTCATCATCAACACGCCATGTTGCAATAATATTTTTATTTAAAACTTTATACATAAAAATTGGCATGTTTTATATTTTATGCTTGAGTCAAAAATGTCCACCTAACATTTCACAATAATTTAAAATATTTTTCTAGGCATGGTTTTGTGAACCTCAAATTTTTGTTACGTTGGAGTATTTATTACTTAAAATTATCACCAAAATACTTTCGAAAAATCAAACGACAAATGAACAACCACCAACCACAACCACCACCACCACCACTACACTATAGAATTTAGACTAGAAGGTACCATCCTGCAACACACAACAAAACAGCACAGAGCAGCCACACACGACAACCACAACAGCCACAACAGCCACAAGTGCCCTGCGCAATATTGGTACAACCCGTCAAAAAGTTGTTCCTCTCCGTTCTACAATATTCTGGAAAGCATCAGAAACATGGGCAGAGACATTCCCGACCAGATCAAACAAGAAAAATTGTGTTGGTCAGTGCTTCTTTGTATGTTTGTATGTTTGTTTGTATCTTTTTTTATCTGTGTTTTTGTTTGCTTACGTATTTGTTAATCTGCCTGGTTAAATACATTTTGTGAGTGTTTGTTATGCTCCACGTAGTATGTCAGCGCGAGTGTGTTTGTTTAACTTGAAAAATTTCATTTTTTTTCAAACGTTTTCTTTAGTTTTGTTGAAAAAACTTCTAAACAAAAATAAAACAGATACAAAACAATTTATTTTATTGTGAAAAAAATTTTTATCTTGACACAATTGAAACAGCACAACAATAAGCCATGATTTCAGCTCGTCTCCCCTGGGCACACTGCAAGCACATGTACTTGCTGTTATAATGACCATGACAATGGTGATGACGACAACGACGATGAAGATGAAATAATGATGTCGGACATTGATGATAATGGTAGTGATGATGATAATGATGTTGAAGATGACGACGATGAGTGAAAAGAAGGGACGGTGATGATGACGATGACGATGATGACGATAATGATGTAGATGGTGGGGATGATGATAATAAAGACTATAATGACAAAGATGTTTTGGTGATGATGATTGCTTTAAAAGCTTCAATAATGTATATGAAGCTGATGATGATGATGAGGTTGATGATGATACTTTTTATGATGATGATGAGGCTGGTGATGAAGATGATGAACCATTGTGATATATTATGATAGGCTTGTTTGTTGAAAATTAATTGAGTCATTTCGCCAAACTAACTAGACAAGTTAAACTGAAATAAATGAACAAATTTGTTGTAAAAAAAAATGAAAACAATTTGTTAAAATGAAATCATGAAATGTGAAAGTTAAAGAACATTAAAGTAAAATAGGTAAAAGATGACGTTCGTTTGACTCATCGTACATATTCGCATTGCCAATCTGCTTTTAATTTATATAATCTAATCAAATGAAAAAAAAACATTTTTGTAGAATTTTATTTTAAAAATTATTTTTCATCCATAAATTATTTTAATAGATGCAATAATTTTTTAAATTAATATATTGGCAAAAGTTAGTTGCGCGGAAAAATTTTTAAAATCTATTTAAGAATATTTTAAAAAGATGATGTTGATAGTGATGATGAGAATGATGATGGCGATGATGTTAATTAACAAAAATTGAAGATGATAGCAGTTATAATGACGACAACATTAATGACGATAATAAGATGAACGGTATAATGATAACCGCGACAATTGTGATGATGACAATGTTTTGACGACACGTATTTTAATAATCTTGGGACGGTGATGACGATCATGACGGATAATGATAACAACGTAAATAGAGATACTATATGATTAACATTGATTAAATCAAAAATTGTGCTGACGAAAATGAAAGCAGTTCAACTCTTGAAAACGGAAAATCACAAATGTATATGACATTGGCACCGCATTAGCATGTGAAATTCAAATTCCACAAACAAGCATTTTCAAAAAATTATACCAATTATGAGCACCAATTATTCCTATTTAATTCTATTTGGCATCTGTGTGTAAGTGCCTGTAACGTACATGTTACTATATTGTAACATGTTCTCCAATGCAGTTTCAAGTGCACAAGTGAATGAAGACAAATACACGAGTACTGGGACAGGTACAAATGTACAAAATACCAAACGCGAAAGTTCAGTTTCAATTTGATCTTGAGGGATTGAGGAACAACATGGAAATATATTTGCATGCAACGTTGAATATTTTAATATTGTAAATGCTGAACTGAACTGTTCAATAGTTAGTGTAACGTGCTGTTGTCTGCATGTTAAGCGCGATGATATTGTTTGCCATCTGTGCAAATTCATTTGTACTATCTTAGCCATCAGGCTATCATCTTCAGAGGATGATATCTATCACATCCATACATTTTTTAGCGTCATGATTCTATCCGAAAATCATCGGCATCATCACTTTTTTGCATGATCTCATTAAAAGGGAGGAGACTTGCAACGATGATGATAAAGATAGCGATCAAGATGACAATGTTGATGACGACAATGAAGATGATAACGACGACGATGATGACGGCGACACCGGAAGCGATCCAAGCGATTTTGCAGCAGCAATTACAGGAGCGCTAACGCGTGTTCTCCTCTAATTGAATGTTTTTCGTCCTGTTTGACAGATGTCATCATCCAAGTTATTTCTTCTCTTATTATTATTATTATTATTTATTTTTATTTACATCATCATCATCATTATTGTCATCTTCAAACTCACCATCATCATCATTATTTTCCCATCATCGTGTTCATTATTATCTTCATCATCATCTTCATCTTCATCCTCGTCAACATCTTATTTATCATCATCATCTTGTGGTCCTCATCACCATCATCATCATCATCCAATTGTTGCAATCCGGTTATAATAACTTCTGGTCTGGCTATGAAACTTTTAAAGGCGATCAAATTAAAAAGAACGACCACGCATGGCTGCCCTGCTAATTATATTTCCCGCTCCGCTGAACATGCAAATGATCAACCGAATATTACTAATAACATCTCTGTTATGTTACATTTTTTATAAAAAAAAATAATTTTTTTTTATATTTATAAAAAAATTATAAAAACTTTGTTTTTTCAATATTTAAGAAGAATTTTTCCCGAAAAATAGATGACATTTTGTTTTAAAACCAAATGAAAAAAATATTTCTTATGCATCTGATGTTGTCGTTTGGCGAGAACAGGTAGTAACTAAAAGTTCAATTGTATTTATCTGCATTTTAATCTAATTTGTACTTCACACTAGTAGAAAAAGTTCGTCTCGTTGTGGTGTTAGTTGTACAAAAACTGTTTAACGCAATTTATAATTTAAGAATTAAGTTGATTTTTATTTTATTATGACTGATAAACCGGATATATTTTTTATTGATTTATGAAAAATTATTGAAATTTTTATATAGTATAAAATAATAAACCTTTTCATATGTTAATAAAATTTAGCGTCTATAGAGTTTTTTGACATAATCTTTCAAATAATTATTTATTTCCGAAATCATACAAAAATAAGATTCATCACTTTTAGTATTTCAAAAAAGTTCAATATGTTGAACAGCTGAGGTTGATACAACAGACAGAAAGAATAAATCTATAAAATTTATGAAAAATAAATACGAAGAAGAAAAAAAGAACCAACGCCAGAGCAGAATGAATAGACAGAAACTCCATATAAAAGTAATTTGTCACTGAAATGTATAATCGATTCAATCAACAACTCTCTAATAATATCACACCGGGGTGTAATACTCATCATACTTCAAATTTCGTGTATTTGGACCTTCATCATAGCAAATTTTATATTATATAAACACACCACACACACACACACACCACACACACACACACCACACACACACACACACACACACACACACATTACTTCTGTTACTTTAAATTAAATCTTTTATTAACTAAAGTTGACATTTTCTGTTACTCCCAAAATACTATTTTTTAATTCTACTACATAGATAAGCTACAATGGACAAATTAACTGGAGTAAATTGTTAACAAGTAAGCTTTAAAATTATAAAGAAAGGTATTGAATATTTCAACATGAGGGTATTCGTCGACTTTTGGAAATAAAGTTTGCGTAACAAACGGCTAATCATATTAGAAATAAGTAAATTAATAATGTATTTATTAACATTTAAAATTATGATCTACCTACACGTATCTTTGACTCTATAGGAATGTTTCACGAATGCATAGAAGGCTCTCCTACACGTGATAAAAAAATTCTGCTGACTCTGCAAGACTGAATTATTCACATGAGGCATTAATAACAAATTGTAATTTATTTAACAACTTACCGAGATTCATGACGTGTGTTGTGTTTGTAAGGGTATGCGTATACATAAACGTATGCGTATTGGTATGCGTATACAAACGCAGTACTACTGACCTGATGTATTAGTATTGTTGTAGTCAAGTAAAGTGACTGAATGGGTATTTACACGTTGCATCATTACATTATACGGGCACGCCACGTAGACAGTGTGCAATGGAAGGATTTGTATTTACGTCGTGATGTCAAGCAGCGTATTACTTTAAATTTATTGATTGATGTGGCTTAAAGAAAACGGAGTTGAAAAAAAAGAGAATTTTTCTTAGAACTGTGAGACGGGGAATGTGCAAGGAAATGTTAATGGCAATTCCAATAGAGTTTTATCAATGGATTCATTTAAATTGATGACTGAATGCGCGCTGGACCTGTTTAAAAGAAAAATTCCATCGTCAACAAAAACATCAAATACATTAAACAAAACAATTCAAATGTCAACAATAATAAACTGACTGTATGCACTGTATTCAATTGCACGTGTGTGTGTGTGTGTGTGAAATATAAGCAGGCCAACATGAGGAAAGAATGTTGAATACAGAACGGTGTCAGCAGCAATATTACATTTCACTAAATGTAATCATATGCATCTCAAATGCATTATTGCGGTGTATGAGCACCTGTCAAGGAACCATTGAAAACATCAAGCCCACGTATGCCCACATTATCGATGATGTCAATTACTTTTTAAAAAGATGTACAAATGTCAACAATGAATAAATAGGGATGTTGAATGCAGATGCCCAAACATCATTGTTGACATTAAATGCATACAGATACAGATGGGGTTGTGACATCAAATACATTAGAGCAAGTGTAGCATGTGAACAATGACATCAAGGACATTGAATATAAAGGATATGATATGTTTAGGACGAGAGAAGCGGCATTTTAATACATAAAATTGACGATATGTACATGGAATATGGCTGCGTATCACGTGACTGACCTGCAATTTATGTTGCGCTTGATTTAAGACCTAATCAAACGGAAATGAATTTTGCTTTGTTGGCGTGGTTGTTTGTGAGATATGAATAGTGATAAAATGAAATTGCTTGCATGTTTCTGCGTGGATGTTCTGCTGAAATTACTCCTGCCGCTCTCTCCTTCCATGCAACTTCTTTTTTCAGTAGCTGTTGTGCTTTTGTTGTTGTTGTTGTCCATTTTGTGCCTCTCTTCTGAGACTGGTGATAAATTATGTAATATATTGACACCCATAAACACGCGCCTGTCGAATTTCCGAACTTTTAAAACAAATGCACTGTTGACGATGTTTTCAGCCGAGCGGGAATTGAGAGAGAATAAATGAATGGAGAGGTCTTAATGATGCATGCGCTCATTTGCCGCCGCACACTTCGTCACACATCTGCTTCAAAAACAGGCGGATGTGTGGAGGCAGTTTTTGTTGTTTACGGGCAGTTCTCTACATTTGTGTCTTAATTTCTGCTAATAAATGCACGTGTTTAGTGTATGTAAGTTCGTGTTTGTTTGCGTGCGTGCGTACTTGTATGTGTGTGTTTGTTTATATATGTGTG